TGAACCCAGGAACTGTGAGATATTAGATGAGTATCTGTCTTCAGCTGCTCCATGTGTGCTGATTTGATGTATAGCAGTGGATAGCTAAATATTATTTCTTTGTGTTTGTTGAAAGATTAAATTCATTATGGGTATTCTTACTCATAGCTGATTTTGATATTTTAGTTAAATGTATGCTTTACTGTGTATCAACACTAAATACACTATAGGCATCATCCAGGGCTTTGTATCAGGTGTTTCCAGAGATTACTGTCTTATTTTGGTATCATCTGTGTCAGAAATGAGATAGAAATTTAATCGACTCACTTTATTTCATTTATTTCACAAGTACTTAGCTTACCCCAAAATTTGACCAGGGTCTCATCAAAGTCATCAATTAGGGCTCCTTTATACGTTCTAAGAAAAATATGCATCTTCCGGTTGTACTTTTAAACACCTGTGTGGTGCACACACATCCTTGCTTGTGGATGCATACACTATCCATCACAGTCACGTATAATCAAAAGTGTCAGAACTCACTAGTACAGAATTCTCCAGTTAATTTCTTAACATTCAAAGCACCTTGACTTGATTTTGAAAGGCACATGTAAAGGGTGACAACTAGACATTCATCAACAAAACTGAGAAATGTTTAGGACCAAATACCTGAAGTGAACATAAGCAGGGCCTAAAACCAAGCAGGAAGATTGCAGACCAAAACAAAACTAACAAAAATATAACACACTAACAACAACAAAATAACCTCTAGCCAGGCACAGCGGTGACACCTGTAATCCCAGCTGCTTGAGAGGCTGACAGGAGGATCCTACATTCCAAGCCAGCCTGGGCAACTTACTGAGACCCTGTCTAAAAATTGAAAGTGGGGGGGGGCACTGGGAATATAACTAAGCACTCATGTGGCATGTAGGAGGCTCTGGGTTCAATCTCCAGCACCAGCACTACCACCAACAAAATCCCTCACGGTGGAGTTTCAGTTTAGGGAAATAGAAGTCACTCCGATTTCTTATCCAACACACTGAAATGGCCAGGGAGCAGAGTTCCTTGATGAATTCCAGGCCCTGGCTTCCCAAACAGGTTTGCACAAAGGTCACTGGGGATTCTTTCCAATGTAGACTCCATAGGTCTGGGCCGGCTAGAGAGTCTGCCTATTTAACCTATCTTGAAAGCCTGTGGATGCTCCGAGTCTGCTGCCAGGAGTCCAGCCCTGACCCCTGTGCCTGTGAGCAGCCTGTGTCACTGCTCTCCTGTCATCCTTGCCTCTTCCCTTGCCCTTGAGCCTCCATTCCCAGGAGTTTCTTAGAGCAGTGGTCAGGATTTCCCTCTTTGTGCAGTTTCACATGCAAAGTCTTTCTCTAGGAAAAGAGGTGAAAAGCTGAATCTCTAAGTGAATTTGGTTTTGATTTTGGTTTTGGTTTTGGCAATAATGAGGTGCTCTTGATTGTGCTGCTTTAGAAATGGGCCTCAGCTTAGCCAAACGTGTGGCTTGAACTGCCAGAGCAATGTTTCCAGAGGGTCCCCTGAAAGTTGGACTGTGCACAGGACAGAGGCTTGTCTTTGCCTTGAAAGGGAATGTGTGGGAAACTCACCCCAACCCTCACAGACATTGGTCAGTTGCTACCCAGGGCCTGTCCTGGGGATGACTGGTCTTTGGTAAAATAATTTAATGTACATATTGTTAAGAATTCAACTTCATAATGGAAAAAGCTATTCTTTTGAGGGATTCGAGAGTTGTTATAAAAGATTTCTCCTTTTAGAACTAAGCATGGTAAAGCCCCAAATGTTTAATTCGGCCTTGAATTAAAATTAAGATGAGGGGTTGGGGTTGTGACTCAGTGGTAGAGCGCTTGCCTCACACACCTGAGGCACTGGGTTTGATCCTTACCACCACATAAAAATAAATAAATAAAATAAAGATATTGTGTTCCTCTACGACTAAAAAATATTTTAAAAAATTAAGATGAGACCAAAGACCACTAACTTCTGAGCAGGATCCAGATGCCTTGGAGAATTTAGAGCCCGGAGTCAACAAATTACCTTATTAGATAAAGTAGGTTGAGTCTGAGTCTGGATGTGTTAGCTGTCATTCATCTTAAATTGAATCTTTTTTGTGCCTCGTCATCCTAAAATGGACAGCCTTTCTTAAGTTTTTACTAGGTAAATAAGTAATGAAAGATTTATTTTAATAGCTCCAAGGACTATTGACTTTTTGAGGCTGTGACTATTTGTCATAGGAAACTACTTGTTAAAATGTTTGCTGTGGGGAACGGTTTCTAAACTCTGTTGTAGAAGGTTGATTTATGCTGCGACCTTGGGTGCTGATCACCTCTCGGATCTGGTTCTGATTAATTTATACAGTTTAAATGGCTCTGCAAAGGGCCTCAGAGTCGGAACACAGCTAAAAGCATTGAGCAGTGTACAAAGGTTATTAAGCAAGTAAAATAAATAAATGTTGTTAACAACTTTAAGACATGAAGCAGAATTCAGCTTTTCTTATTTTGTGAAACACACTCAGCTCTTTTGAAGTCTCCTTGACCCTTTCACCCTTTGTCTCTTCTACCTGATTCACAGATATCCATCTCTGTGGAACATTTTACCCTGAAACTCAGTGGCTTGAAGTAGCAAACCTGTTTCATCTCACATTTTCTGTGAGGAGTCTAGGTTCTTCTGCCCCTGAGTCTCCTAAGGCTGTTCCAGGGGGTCAGCCATGGCTCTGGTCTCATCTGACTCACTGCTCCACCTGTTGGCAGGATGCAGTTTCTGAGCTGTTGGCCCCAGGTGTCCTTGCCATGCTGGCCACTTCATAGGGCCATTTACAACACGACAGCTCATAACCTCCTGGGAGGGCAGAAGGAGGGAGATCATGGTCTTTCTCTAGCCTGCTTTGAAGGGACAACCAATCACTGTATTCTGTTATGGGGAGCAGGTCATTAGGTCCACCTCATACTTTTACATAAGGATGTGAATATCACCAGGTGGGATCTTTGGGGAACATTTTAGTCCCTCTGCCACACATGGTAAGGGTTGGATGAATGAGCAAACCCTTCAGTGGTGCCATCTTGCCATCCTGTGCAACAAGATGTGCATATGTCAAACATTCCTCCTTCATACTGGGTCCCGTGCTGGTCTGTGGAACAGCCGTGCCCTTAGTGTGTTGATGCACATGTGCCATTTATTCTATAAAATGCATACAAGTAATTTTGTTCACTTATTTTTAAGCTTCTGAAAAGGGAATTAAGAAGATAGTGGTAGGCTAAAGCCAGAGGTCCGCTCTGAGATAGCCAGCTCCGTGGGAGGTTCCATGGAAGGTTCCATGGAAAGGCTCTTTGTTACAGCTCAGTCTCCCCCTTCTGGAGGCTTTCCCTGTCTACTCACCCAAACCAGGCCTTACTGCTCTGAGTTCCCTGTATAGCCCCAAGCTCTTCCTGCTTTCTCCCTGAATAGCCCCAAGCTGTTCCTGCAGCTTTCCTTGTTACTGGCTCTCTCCCAGGAGAACTGAGCTCAGTGAGAGCAGGGCCTCCTCTGTCCAGATCATCCATGTATCACCAGCTCCTCACCTGGGGCCTGGCAAACAATAGGCTCTCGGTATACTACCAGATATGTGTGAATCAAACACAAGGTCATTAAATCATTCTAAGGAGCTTTTTGGAAGCCATACTATAGCTGTGACTTTCAAAGGGGATACCATTGGTTTAGATAGCATGTAGACTACATTAGTTTATTAAAAAAAGAAAAAGAAAAACAGCATGAAGATCATGGACAGTTTTTTTCCTAGCCTTTAAGGCCTAGTGGGACACTAGAAAAATCACACTGCTTCTCTGGGCCTCAGTTTCCTCAAAGGACAAGGGAGGGAACTATAAACCAAGGCTCCTCAGATGGAGCTATATCCCTGGATCATACCTGGGAAGTGTGGGTTCTGGTTTTCATGTCTTCAACATTGGTCTGCCACCTAAGATTTTGTTTGAAGAAGGACTCAGGAAAACACACACACACACACACACACACACACACACACAAAGAAAACAAGTTAAACTTTTGCATAGCTAGTGGCCACACCAGTTGTGGTATATAAGGATGGAGTTGTAGTTGGCAGTTGTGGTGTATAAAGATGCAGACTCCAGATCCCCAAAGCTCCGGCCTAGCAGAACCAGTTTGAAGAGCAGTCCAGGTGATTTATGCTCAGGGCACCCAAGAGAGAACCCTTTCCAAGACCAGAGGTTGGTCAACCAGTAAAAATGCAAATAAGAGAAATGCAGTAGGGTGATGTTAATGAGTGATCCTGGTGATCTTTTCACAGTGTGTATGTGTGTCGAGTCATCAAGTTGAACATCTTAAATGTATACATTTTTCCCCCATCAATTCTACCTCAATAAAGCTGGGGGGAAAAAGAATGTCAATCCTTTCCTTCCCCAAGCCCACCTCACGCCGTGATGATGGCTACCTCACACTACCTTTGAAATTCTAGCATTGATTTTTCTTCTTCTTTTTTTCACATTGACTTATTTCAAGATTTCACTTTTGGCACCACATTTCCCACCAGATAACCAGAGCTTCCAGCTCCAAGTTTGCTAATTAAAATTGTGTCACATCCCCAAAACAGCGCAAATGGTACCATTAAGCCTGGCAGAAAAGTATTTGCAAGCACTTTACCTAGTAATTTAAATATAATACTTCTGGAAGCATTCAGTTTAGGGTGTTCTCGCTGCTGTTGTGGTCTGTGCTTCCCTTTGGCTACTCAGCTCTTCAGCAAGCAGCTTGGTTGCATGGCTGCAGCAGTCCATGTGGCTTCCTGTGGCCTTTGGGAATCACCAGGTCTCAGGCATAATTAGTATAAATCAAAATTCTCTAGACTATGACAGGAAAATAGTATGTTTGAACAGCAGCTTATTAAAATGACCTATTTAATTTAAGAAAAATATCATATCCACTTGCATGGTAACCTGGATGCCTTCACTGACAGGTTTTATGCCATTTCTCTCCTGCCCCCTTTTCTTTTTTTTAAGAAAAGGAAAGAGAATGGAAAGGCCCATTCTACTTCATCCAGGGTGCGGACCCACAGTTTGGGCTGATGAAGGCCTGGTCCACTGGGAACTGCAACAGCAGCGGTGATGAGTGGGAGCAGGAGATCCGCCTCACTGAGCAAGCTGTTCAGGCCATCAACAGGCTGAACCCCAAGCCCAGATTCTTTGTTCTTTGTGGCGACCTCATCCACGCCATGCCAGGTAAGACGGGTCCTCGCTGGGACCATTTCACCTTCAGCCAATCATGACCACGATCATGGCAAGGAAAGAAATGATTTCCCCCTGAGAGGCATCTCTCTTTGGTAATGGCCCCTTCCTTTTCAAGATTGGTGCAGTATCACTGCACATCAGAAAAGGCACATTCATTTTATATTTAGAATTTGGTGAGATTAATCACAGTAGTTAAGGAGAGCTACTGTCCTGATGATCTGGGCTTAATATGAAAAGTAGACCAGGCTCCCCTCACCTCCACCGCATATCACTTTCCCAGATTTCTAGGGACAAACCTGAACTGTTTCCCTATTTCATATTCATAAATATAATCTGCTTTCTCTCCCCTCTTCTTACTCTTAACTTCTGTATTTGTTGGTGCTTTTCCAGTAGCAAATTAGAAAAATTTATTCTAAAGTAGTTTAAGTTGTTATTCTTGTCCACATTGCTTTTATGAGGCTGTAAAGTTCAGGGACAGATCTGGGCTTCGGATATAGCTGGATCTAGAGGCTCTAAGGTTGTTATCTGTGCTTGGTCTCACCATTGCCCAGCTCTGTTTTCTCTAAGTTGACTTCATTTGAATGGAGGTTCTCTCTACATAGTGGCTCTTGGGAGCTCTAGGTTTATACACTTTTTACAGAAATAACAGTGTGAAGTGCCCTATATTTGGTGCTTCAGTCCAAGTTCCAGATCTCACTCATCTAGCTCACATGGCCCCAGGGTGTGAGGTCAGCTCCACTATAATCATGCAGTCTGAAGAACAGGATAGTTTCTCTAAAGACAACTAAAATGCTGGGAATGCAAAACCAGCAGTTGCCTTTCAGAGCTCCTCTCCCTTTTGTTTTATCTGATCTAATGTTCTTCTCTCTCAGGCAGGGCTGAAGCCCAGTGAACAAGTATAAGCAAGTAGAAAGTGTCTCTGCCCATCAGGGAAGCAGAGCTGGCTCCCAGGGCCTCTGCTCTTATCTGTGTCCCTATCTCTGCTTAGAGAAACAGAGATGACCTGAAGACCATGGCAAAAAACAGCAGTGGTTGTGGACCCTCACTAAGGGCTAACTTTACCTTCTACCTGTACCCTGGGAACCTGAGTCCTGCCATGATCTCTTACTTTCCTGGAGTCCACGGTACTCCACAGGAAGCCTGAGGCTGTTAATTTTTCTTCACCAAGGCCTACTTGACTGGTGGCCTCTGTCTCCAAACAAAAGCCAGAGTGAAGATGTAAGAATGGAAAACGGGCAGCCAGAATTATTCTGCCTGGTGTTCCAGGAGCACAGTCAGCAGGGAGAACCCTCAGACCTCCCCTCGTTCTCTATTTACTCATAGTTTGCATTAAGTCACGTGTGTATGTGCCCATGTCATTGCCTGTACCAGGGAGAACCCAGTGCCCTTATCCCTAGGGAGGCACCATTGATGGACCCGGTGAACACAAACCCTTCCCTCCTTAAGGCCTCAGTTTCTAAGCCAAGAACCCACTGAAGTAGCAAGAATTTGAAGCTTCCATCCATCTAGAGCCAATCTGGGACAGCAGCTTCATACCTCTGCTGCAGAGGTAAGCATCCCACTGGCTCAGTATAGAAACGTATTCATGAAGATGGTCCTGAGTTTGCAGAGAGGTAAAAATCTTAGCTGCTTGTAAACTTGGCCACCCTGGGCAATGCATGGCTGAGAGCTCACAGGTGCTGAAGTTGTGCAGTACTGAAGCAACTACTCTGCCCAGGCTTCTGAAGGAGTCAGAAATCACAGAGGACTGAGTAAAAGAAGATGAAATGTTAACGAATGGATTAGTGCTACTTCCAAATGGTCTGACTTGGGATTATGTGGCCGTATGTGCACATCAGCTTGTACTTTCAACCTGGACCATGTGTTGAACCAATTTCTGCTTCTTCTGCACACTTGAATATGATTCCAAGTTACATTTTCTGTCTAGTGATTTTTTTTTCTTTAAAAACAGAATATTGTGAGACTCACTGGAATTACATTAACATGTTCTCATAGATGTTTACGGATTTGTTCTGATTTATGTTAATATATTCAGTCATATTTCAAAATCAGATTTAAAATAAAAGCTTTCCATGCAATTACATTGCTTCTTAAAAAGAATATATTATGCATAAGTAAAATTCATACTTTTTATGATCAGTCCTACCACTTGGTCAGAAGACTTTGTAAATACGAACTGGCAAAGTTTTGAAGATGTCTTCTATATTCATTGTGACTAGAGCAGAATTCATAGTTTCTTCTGAAGATTGGACTATTTTGTGGGGTTTTAACTGAACCAGTGAGAGGACTCTTAACTGTTTTGAATATTGTGGTTTGAGATTAAACAGAACATTTTAAAACTACTAAACTACTTATCATTTTTTTAATGTGCAATAAGTGCCTTCCCTTTCATTTAGCTTGTACACAGGGCAAATAATTAGAAAAGTAATTATTGGTTTTGACTGCTTAGCACATTGTAAATTATCAAATGCATATATTAATAGGCAGCAAAAATCAGAAAGTATGCTTTTAACTCCACCATAAATAATATCTTGGACCTAGTAGATTCAAGTTCAAAATGAAGCAAAAAATCTTTCAGAATAATGTTTTTTTTAAATGAAAATCATAATTCTTTTCTATTATAAATATCCATCATAATATCCATTTCCCACGAATACTCATTGTGTGCAGAGAAGGTGCCGATTACAATACTAGATGCTGTGGACACAGTAGTGGCAGTGAGAGGCCAGGTCCTCCTTTGCAGCTTAGGAATGCAAAAATAGCAGTTGCCTTTCAGAGCTCCCCTCCCGAAGGGAAGTGCAGGGGCATGGATGATAAGGGGAGCTACTGCTACCAAAGCTCATAGGGAGAAGCCTGAGAAATGCGACCTTCTTCATTTTGAAAAAGCCCATTTTATTTTGAGCATGTGCTTTCATTCTACAGACATCTTTGGTGTTATCTAGGTATTTTCTTATTTTATGAAGCTTTTGTATGAGCTAAGCCATACAAAAAGTAGCATTTGTTCAAAAAAAGTAGATTTGTACAAAGAAAGAGCCCATTGATATTTAGTTCTTCAGTCTTAAGCCCGAGGTCACTTTGGTCAGCCTCCTGGTGTTGAGGCATTGACCCACTGCTAGTGTCCTCATGAACATTATTATTCAAGCAATTCCATGTGGAGCTGACAAACCAGAACATGTGGCACAGTGAGGGAGCAAGAGATTCCTGTGAGCCTAGACATTTGCTGCTAACACACATGTCCATTCCTGTTCATTAAAACTTGCTATAACCAACCAAACAGCAGCGTGGGCAGATTCTTCCCTTCATGTAGTCTCCTTGAAGAGGTCTTTGTATACCAGCCTCCACTTTGGTAACTGGTCTGATTGAGTTTTGGGTGATGTTGTGGCCTCGGGAACTGCTCTGTTCTGCAGAGGGAGGCCAACCTGCAGTAGCTTACTCCAGTAGATGGTGTGTTATCTCCTGGAGCTACTATAAACAGTTACCACAGAATCATTGGCTTGAAACAACACACATTTATTGTCATATCATCCAGGCAGCCGGAAGTCCAACCTGCAGAATCTGCAGGCTATGTTCCTCTGAGGGGTTCCAGCAACAGGAGGCCACCTGCACTCCGTGGCTCTCCTCAGAGCCTGCAGCCCTGCAGCTTTTCTCCTCTTTGGCCTCTGCTCCATCCTCTCACACTGTCTTTATTGCTCTTACTGTCCACCCTCACTCCCGTACAGACCCTAGTGATCATATTAGGCCCATCCAGATAGCACAGGATGATCTGTCCATCTCAAGATCCCTGATCACACCTGCAAATTGACAAGTTTTCAAGTGTGTTGACAAGTTCTGGGAACTGGGATGTAGACCTCCTGGGGGCATCATTCAGTCCATCATAGGACAGGACGGATGGAGCTCAAGGTCTGTGCTGCTCAGTCACCTACTCACAGCAGTCTCCAAAGATGTCGTTGTCGTTTGCATTTTAACATTTTAACTAGTGGGGAACCTGCTCAGAGCAGTGAAGTAGGGTCACTTGCTCCTTAAGTGGTGGACTCAAGTTCATCTATTTCCAAAGCTTATGCAGCCTCACTACTCAAAAGGTGGCCCCAGAGCAGTAGCAGCATCTAGAATATCAGCATCTTTATGAAATCCCAGATAAATTTTGTGGATAATAAGATTTGAGAAGCACTTACTAGACTAAAATGTGTGTGCCCTATAGTTTTTGTTTTTCAGTGTATTATTTATAATTTCTGTATATATAGCAGTAGTGTATAAAAATTCCCTTTAGGTGAGAGTCATAGTGTTTTAGCAAGAGAAGCATCTTTCCTTTAGTCTTATGGTCAGTGTTCAAAAAAAGTACTTCTAAATTTGTAGACTTTGTTTTACTTCTTGAATAGTTTGAATAACTAAAACAGGATGCCCTCTCCTATAGAAAATGTCCATAGCAGAATGGTAGCAGAATATTCAGGAAAACAAGTACACATATATGATTTAAAAGATCTGTATGTGTAATGATCAGGGGAGCTAGAACTAGATCTTTGATTTGGGTCAGGTGCATGTACATAGTCCTTTATCTGCTATTCCAAAATTTGGAAAGCTATGAAAATTAAGATTTTTTTTCTTAAATTTGAAACTAACTTGGTTGACAGTAAAACTGCTCTGAGTTGATAGGAGCCTGTTTATAGTCTTTATCTAGTAGAGAGAATATTCATATGTTTTGCTAGTAAAATATTTCTAGGTTCCATTACAGACTGCTGCCTGATCCTCTGCTTAAGGTGTTATTTAGTATACACTCTGGGCCCTATATTACCATTCCAGAGTTCAAAAACTCCAATTTCAAATGACATCTGGCCCAGAGCATTTTGGATAAGATTTTATGGATCTGCAGAATTGATACTTTGGAATTTTTAGATGAAGAAACCTTTCATCACGAGAAGCAGAGCCTTTTCCTCATTCTGATTTAATGCCATCCCCAAGTTTACTTCTGCATATCTACTGCACAGTGTTCACAT